GAGAGAGAGAGAGAGAGAGAGAGAGAGAGAGAGAGAGAGAGAGCGAGAGAGAGAGAGAGAGACAGAGAAAGAGAAACAGAGACAGAACGCGAGAAAACTCAAATAAAAGTGTCCAAAGATATAAAATTTAAGCATTTTATCATAAACTCATTGAAGTGTCATCAGCATCAATGAAATGAACAAATATGAAAGCACGCATTTCTGCTCGTCATCCCACCCAACGTCCCCTTTCTCCCTCCCACTTTAGCTCCTCCCTCTCTTACTATTCTCACTCGAACACCAGCTAATGCATATGTGATCACAAAGAAAAACCACACTATTCATCTACATCGTCCTGCCCACGAAGCTGCTTTCTCCTTTCTTCCATTGCGAACTTCTCGTCATAATCAACAACAGCATTTCCATGGGGATAAAGGTTTGTTGTGTTGTCACACGTAGCTGTAACAACCGTCAAATCATTTATTTTTCTATACTCCCCCTTTGTTAAATGGCTTAGGCGGCCACACTTTGGACATCGACGCCTCATAACTTCAACCAATGCAAGCACCACCTCATGCAATCCAGTCTCATGCTTTTTATTTATGCTCGCGAGAGCATTCAATTCGTTTTTTACATGGCCCATCTCCTTCATACCCCGCACCGGCGAATGAGCACCAATGATATTTGCAAACAAAATTCTGAGGCTATACAACTGTTCCTTGTAACTCGCTATAATGTCCTCCTTCAGTTCCTCACCGCACTGATCCGAGAAACTATGTTCAAACACAGCGTCCATTAACTCTTGTCATGCGTCCTTGTACAATTGTCTGAGAATAACAACTGTCGCTCTCAACAGGCTATCGCTTACCGGGAAACTCATTGTATTTTGCACCTCCAAAAGTGCATTTCTATGTGCAAGCTTCACACCAACTGTTCGCAATGCTTGCAACATACCAATCAAACAACTTTTCGGAAGCTTTTCTAAACTTCGATCTGATGGAAGCTTTAACACCTTTGATGCAAAAGAAGGATCAATCGATGACAAGGCACCTGCCGACAACAATTTTCTTAATCCACTCTCGGCTGTTTCACAGCGTAGACGCAAATACTCACACTCTTGGGACACATGCGGATCAACTTTAGTACTAAGCTCAACAACTTGGTCAAGCAAGTCATTTCTAATGGAGGATTGGATTAAAGACGTAAGTTGGCTGGCAATGTCCTCGCCAACATTCTACTCCTTCTTCGCATCCACACTACCGGGCAAAGACCGATCTCTCACCTCTTCACTTCGTTTCCTTTCCATGAAACTTTCAAGCACTGATCGTGCATTCACCTCAATTTTTTGCAAATGCACTCCTCAGGGCAGTCACTTCCGCCTCCTTCTTCTTCAACATCCTAAGCAACTCGTCATGAGTCCACCGACGACCTTCATTGTCAGTCATATAGCGGCCGCATTCTCCTTTCAATGAGGAATCGTTTGGAACCTTACCTGCAATACCATAAGGCACTTTAGACTCACGCTGAAGCAGACGCTGCTTCATGTCATGAATTTGCGAAGCCATGCCATACTCGTATCGTTCACTACATTCCTGAAGGTATCTCCTCTCCGTGCGAGCATCGGCGAGCCATTTTCCAAATACACCATCCCCATCATTACGTGCCCGAATTTGCCTCAACACATTGGACCATGATATTCCTTCAACCGGCCTATCTACCTGGCTGTCGACCACCACATTCATTTCAGTAGATGCTTGTCCATCTGCGAAGACCACCATGTAAAAGCAATCAACCAATTAATCGATCAAATTGATTAACTGATCGAAAGAAGAGAGAGAGAGAGAGAGAGAGAGAGAGAGAGAGAGAGAGAGAGAGAGAGAGAGAGAGAACAGGGACAGAGAAAGAAAAAATGATGGATTGATTCATTGATTGATCGATCAACGATCAAATTGATTGACTGATCGAAAGAAGAGAGAGAGAGAGAGAGAGAGTTGGCGAATCGGGGAGCATCTGTGTCATCGCCACATCAACACCAGCAGATCGCCCAACTGCTGATTGGTTGGTTAGGTGGTTCGGTCAGGTGGTTCGTTGGGTGCTTGGGTGGTTAGGTGGTCGGCTTCGCTGGTTGGTTGCGTTGTTGCGTGGTTCCGTGGTTGGGTGGTTGGGCCAGGTCAATGATCAGGTCCAGACCCAGATCCAGCACCAGGTCGTGCCGTAGACCCAACTAAAGCTGAGAACACGCCTAGGTCCACGCTCAGGTCCACTCATAGTCTGGGTCCAACATCAGGTCCATCCGTACTCTCGGTCCACGTCTTCCATGTATGCATAGGTCCAGGTCTGGGGGGGAGGGGGGGGGGGGAAACAAGCAAAAGTGTACAGCCTAACACAGTGTCTGCCTGAGTCTGCGTCTAAGTCCACCTGTATGTGTGTCCGTGTCTGCCTGTCTGTGTCTGAGTCTGCATGTTTGTGTGTCTGAGTCCACCTCTTTGTGTGTTGCCTGAGTCTGTCTGTCTGTGTATATCTGTGTTCTGTGTGTCTGTCTCTCTGTGTGTCTGCGTGTTGTCTGTGTGTCCGAGTCGTCATGTCTGTGGGCTGCCTGAGGCTGCCTGTCTGTGTGTATCAGTGAATGTACGGATCCAGGTCCGGGTCTGGCGTGAATGTACGGATCCAGGTCCGCGTTAAAAAAAAATTAGAAAAATCAAGGAAATGGGTCATGGCG